TTTTCTTTCTTCATGATATGACATTGGCAGGGCCTAATTAGATTTTATAAAGAAAAGCTTGTCAGTTCACAGTGGTATTAATCTGTCAGCTCCAAATTCATATATAGTGTGGATGTACTAAATGTGCATATGAATTATAAAACTTGAAGTTACATAATATAAAATATTAATAAAGTCTCACTTTATGTGAAAACTTTGAAATTAAAACATTCTCTAATTAAAAGAATTCATCAAGAATCTTAGTTTCACAGCTAGCTGACTAGATGAATTATAAACAATAATTCTGCCACAGGAAGGGGCCATTTTAGCTGGTAAACAGAAATACCTTTGTCATGTCAAACGAACCAATGCTCTTATTTATATTAGAACTACTGTGATAGAATAAGCTTCTATCGTGTTGAGCTATGCTTTTAATTTCTATAAAACATTAGAGATAATGTTTAAAAAATTTTAAGTATTAAAGCGAAAGTATTCTACAGTATTTGTTGATCCATGTGCTTCGTGAATGTTTACCTCCTATTTTACATGAAATCCATGCATCTTAAAATGTATTTTATGTTATATTTCTCCTTTGAGAAAATTAGTGTTGAATTATGCAAGGTTTGAATCACACAAAGTTTTCGGTAATGCAACCTTCCGAAAATGTCCTCTAAATTAAGCTCTACAATATGAAGAGTTGCATGTTTGTTCAGATCCTTAGAATGTTTCGAAACACATTTTCCAGTGACCAAAACTCTCTCTGGAAAATGGAGAAATTGAATAGCCATGGAAAGAAGTTGACCTCCCTCTTCAGCTTTGACTTTGTGTTTTGTTTCAGAGAGACCTGGTTGTTGGAAGATAAATTCCCTAGTGGCTAACATTTTCTAGCTTTTCAGCAAAGTAGTTTTTGTAGAGGAAAGAATGAACTCATAACACTGATTTGGTTAACTTTAGACAGCCAGATTCTTAGCTCCCTAGTAAATTATTTCTCTCCTTCCATTTTCTAGTTCCCTAAGAATATTAATCTGGTGTGTTTTAATGTACTTTACTACTGGACATGTGAACTAAAATACCAGTCTTGTATAATTTATTTTGCTGTAAGAATCATGCTAAGGAGACTTAGGTGCCAGGGTTGCAGTCATACTTTCAGATCTTCATTCATAGGAAATCTGGACTGGAAAGATCACTTCTCTATAGGATAATATTCTCTGAGAACAAGCTACTAAATCAAATAAAAATTCCTGTGTAAATTCATTGAACATTAATACCATATTTGTGTGCCAATGGGGAAAAACTAAGGAAAATCATAGTTATTAATTTGTTTAAAAATCAACATTTTTGTTTACCTTGAAAGCTAAATGAGGCATGTCTCTTTTGATCTTCATGTTTTAAAATCTTATATACATAGTATCATACATGTTTATTTTGTAATTTGCTTCTTTTACATATTCTAGATGTAAATTCATTATCAGATATATGATTGGCATGTTTTCCCCATTCTTTGGGTTGTCTTTGCTTTCTTGATGGTGTCCTTTGAAGGACAGAAGTTTTAATTTTAATGAATTCCGGTTTATCTATTTTTTTTCTTTTGTTGCTTTGATTTGGGGTTTTTCTTCTGAGTTTTCTGCAAATTCAAAGTCATGAAGATTTATCTCTGTGTTTTCATCTAGTATTTTTATTAGTTTTTGCTCTCACATTTAGGTCTTCAATCCATTTCGAGTTAATTTTTGTGTATGATTTAAAAATTCAACTCATTCTTTTTTATGTAGCTAACTGGTTGTCCCAGCACCATTTGTTCAAAAGACCTTTCTTTCCCCCATTGAATGGTCTTGGCATTCTTGTCACAAATCAGTTGATCATAACTATATGAGTTTATTCTGGGCTTTCAATTATATTTCGTTGATTTCTATGTCTATTGCTGCACCAGTACCACACTGTCTCTATTGCCATTGCTTTGTAGTAAGTTTTAGAATCCATAAGCGTGAGTCCTCCTACTTTGTTCTTTTTTTCTTTTTAGGATCATTTTGGCTGTTCTGGGTGTCTTACAATTCCGTATGAATTTTATAATCAGCTTGTCAATTTGTACCAAAAAGTCAGCTGAGATCTGATAGAGATTGTATTGAACCTTAGATGAGTTTGGAGAATATTTCCATCTTAAACAATTTCAGAAAATTTATATAGATTTCATAGCTTAAGTTTTATACTTATTTTGTTAACTTTATTCCTAAATATTTAATTCTTTTTGATGCTATTGTGAATTGAATTGTTTTCTTAATTTCATTTTTGGATTATAGTATATAGAAACACAAGTGATTTTTGCTTGTTAATTTTGTCTCCTACTGCTTTACAGAGTTCATTTGTTAGTTCTAACAGTGTGTGTGTGTGTGTGTGTGTGTATGTGTGTATGTGTGTGTGTGTGTAGCCTTTAGTGTTTTTTATTTATAAGCTTATATCCTTTGCAAACAGAGATAGTTTTTATTTCTTCCTTTCTAATCTGGATGCCTTTCATTTCTTTTTCTTATCTAATTGCTCTGACTAAAACTTCCAGTACTATATTGAATAGAAATAGTGAAAGTAGATATCATTTCTTGTGTTATTCATGATCTTTGAGAAAAAGCTTTAGTTGTTTATCATTGATATGTATTAGCTGTGGGTTCTCATATACGGCCTTTATAATGGTGAAGTGCTTTCCTTCTATCACTAGTTTGTTGGGGTTTTTTGGTCATAAAAGTATGTTAAAATTTTTTCAAATGTGTTTACTGAATCATTTTGATGGTTATGTGCATGTTTTTCCTTTATTCTGTTAATGTGGTGTATTACATAGATCAAGTTTCAGGTGTTGAACCATCCTTGTATTCTAGGAATAAATCCCATTAGGTCATGGTGTATAATCCTTTTACTATGCTGCTGAATTTGGCTTGCTAATATTTTATTGAGGATTGTTATGTCTATATTCATAAGAAATATTGATCTATTATTTTCTTGTGATGTCTTTGGTTTTAGTTTTAGGGTAATTTTGGCCTCGTAGAAATAATTTGGGAACTGTCTCCTCCTCTTCAATTTTTGGAAGAGGTTATGAAGTACTTTTTATTTTTTCGATTTTGACAAAATTCATCAGTAGAGCCATCTGGACTTCTCTTTGTGAGTTGACTTTGAATACTGCTTCAACTCTTTCATTTGTAGTAGGTCCATTCAGATTATCTCTTTATTCTTGAGTCAGTTTTAGTAGTTTGTATCTCTCTAGGAATTAGCAGTTATAGTGGGTATGTAGTGGAATTTCATTATGGTTTTAATTTCCATTTCTATGACTAATAATGATGTTGAAAATCTTTGCATATGTTTATTGGCTGTTTTACCTTCTGCAATATATCTGTTAAAATGTTTTCCCTTTTTTCAAGTAGGAAGTTTATTATTATTAAGTTGTAAGATTTTCTTTATATTCTTGATAAGAGAGTTTTGTCAGATATATATATTTTTTGGTTTCAGTGTTTACTCCTAGGTTTGATTGATTTTGAATCAATTTTTGTGTACAGTGTGCAATATGGGTTGAAGTTCATCTTATGATATTAACTTTTATTGAAAATCTGTTCTCTCTCCATTGAATTAACTTGACAACTTGCTCAAAACTCAGTTGCCTATATAAATGTGGGTCTTTTTCTGATAACATCTAAATTTTGGAGCTATATTATTTGGTACACATACATTTGTAATGTATCTTCCTGCTGTCTTGACTATTTTCTCAATAAGAAATATTCCTCTTTGGGTTTAGTGATTCTCTTTTAAAAGTTCGTTTTGTTTAATATTAATGTAGTCTCTCTAGATTTTTTAAGTTTACTGTCTGCATGGTATATCTTTTCATAGCCTTTTGCTTGCTTTTATTTTTGTGCATGTTTTTATATTTCAAATGCATTTCTGTAGACAATGCATAGTTAGGTCTTGCTATCTTTCAGTCAGACAATCTGCATTTTATTGGAGTCTTAGTATATTTATATTTAATGTAAATATCTTTATATTTGGATTTATTGTCTGCCATTTTGCTGTTTGTCTTCTCTTTGTCTCATTTTTGTTTTCTTTTATTGTGTGTTAAACATTACTTTTGGGGATTCTTTTTATTCTCTATTAGCATATTAGTTTTCTTTCTTTGCATTATTTTTATTGACTTCTTTAGGGACCATAATGCAACTTTAACTCCAAGTATAATATAAGAACCTTGGAACAGGATAGTTTCATTTACCCACTCTTATCCTTTGTACTATTGTTATCATATATGTTACTTACCTATATCTATATTTTATATTTCTATATTGTGAGCTAAAAATTATCGTGTTATAATTTTACTTAAAGACTACTATCTACATAAATTCTCTTCATTACTTTTTATATATCCAAGTTATCACCTGGTGTCATTTTACTTTGTCCTAAAAGGTTTTTTTTAGCAGTTTTTGAATGCAGACCTGTTAGCAATTCTTTTATTTTTAATTTATTTGAAGATGTCTTTCAATCTTTAATTTTAAAGACTAGTTTTAGAATAATCTTTTCTTGGAAGACCAGTTTTTTTTTCCCTCAACAATTTAAATATTGTTTCAGTATCTTGTAGCTCCATTGTTCTAACGAGAAATTAACTTGATCATATTTTTGTTCTCTTTTATGTAATGTATAGTTTTTCTTTGTTGTATTCAAGATTCGTCTCATTATCTTTCACTTATAGTAGTTTGATCATAATGTGCTGAGGTGTAATTTTCTTTTGTTTATTTTATTTGGGGGTAGCAGAGACTTCTTTTTTTCTTCTCCTGTTTGACTTCACTTTCTTTTATGAGTTATGAAAGATGTTTCTGATACAATAATTTTAAGCCTTGTTAGAATGCTTGGAAATAAAATGGAGAAGAATGGATGAAATGCCAGTTTTCTAAGGAAATTTAATGCCTTAAGTATATACACATACAACACAACCAGTATATTTACAATGGTAAATATTAACGTTATCTGTCTTCTTTTCCTGTTTTCACAAAATCTGTTTATAGGTGCATTTCCTCCTTCTGCTACATATGCACGAAAAGACTTGCTACACCGATCTACCCATATTGCTACCAAGACTTTCCAAGCTTTTCGCATATTTGTGAACAATGAACTCAATGAACTTTACACTGGACTGAAGACAGCTCAGAAGTTTCTGAGACCTGGTGGTCGCCTTGTCGCCCTCTCCTTCCATTCACTAGAGGATCGCATTGTCAAACGATTCTTGCTTGGGATAAGCATGACGGAAAAGTTTAACTTAAGTGCTAGACAGAAGGTGATACAAACACCACAATTGGATTCAGGTCATGAAAACAAGGAAGGAGTCTCTGTAGGAAGGGCCCCTTTAATGTGGAAATTGATACACAAGAAGGTACTTACTCCAGAAGATCAGGATGTACAGGATAACCCCAGAGGGCGCTCAGCCAAGCTTAGAGCAGCTATCAAATTATGAGAAAGTCATTATCATCTGATTCTTCAAGTTTTTCATCACAGTTTCTATTTATTTTTTGCATGCACTATTCCTAAACAACTTAATACAAAAAAATATATGATATATGATATATATTATATATAGATATAGATACATATCTATATATCTATATGATATCTATATCTATATATAGATATGTACTACATATATGTGGAAATTGAAGTTATTTAGAATTTTTTTTCCTCCAACAGAAAATGCAGGAAATATTAGCATGACACAGAAAGTTCAACTCAAAGAGCAGCAGCATCTCAAAATTGGATTAATGTGTTTATCTTAGCATTATGTTTGACTTTTGAAATGTCCTATCTCTAACCAGGAAATTAAAAAAAAAAAGAATAATGTGTGCATTTAACTATGTAAGCTTAAGCTGTCAAAAGAAAGAGATTATAATTATATCTGTATGCCCTAAATTCTGAATTTAGATATTCAGATTTGCAGCAGAATTTCTGTGACTCAAATAATTAATAATGATTATGGAATGAATCATTATTGGAATAAATAATTATTACTATAATTTTCTCAAATATAGATATTAAGCATTTTTAAGTTATCAAGTATTATTTTTAAAATGCATCATACTGATAAATTTTATTGTTGAAATTATAATGTCCACTGTTTTAAAGGTATTTTTTCTTATTATATATGCCATGTTTTTATATATTCCAAAGTAAAAATGAAGAATTACTGTTGCAGCAATTAATAAATTTCACAAAACTTATTTTAAAGTCAGTTGTGTTTATTTTAATAGCCAAGAATGTCTTTGAGAAATAATAAAATCTCTCATCATTTGAATCCTACAGTTTTTAATTGAGCTATTCAAAATAATTCAGCCAAGTCTATTTAAAATAAAATTGTATTCCAAATGTTAAAATCAGTGCACCCTTAATGTTTAGATAGGAATTCTAATTATAAAATGTTTATTCAGGAGTTCACTTGGTAGAGAATTTTTAATAAATTGATGAGATTGATTCATAATTCACATATCAACTTTTTATATGTAAATATGCACTTCTAATTTATTCAGCAATTACTGAGCTTGATAGAGAAAAAAGGTGAGTAAAATACACATATCCCACATTACCTGTGTTATAGAGTTTATAGTCAAGTTGAGGAGAGTGATGGTAGTTAAATAATCAGAAAAATTAATATAAAATTGACATAGTGGTAAATGCTACAAAGAAGCAGTACAGGTACCATAAGAACATCTAGTAGGGAACTCATCTACTGAACGAAACCAGGTCTGACCATGTGGTGCTTTTACTATGATATGAAGGTTGAATAAGAGAATAAGAATAAGTGCAGGCCCTTAATCCAATATTTCTGGTGTCCTTAAGAGAAGAGAGAGAGACAAAGAGAAGAACATCACAGGAATATGAAGTCAGAGATAGGAGCGATACAACTACAAGCCAAGGGACACCGAGAATTGCTGCCAGCCATCAAAAGCTAGGATAGAAACATGGAATAGATTCTCTCTCAGAGTCTTAAGTAGGAACCAACTCTGCTGACACCTTGATTTCAGACCCAGCCTCCATAAAGGAGGGAATAAATTTCTGCTATTTTAAGCCACCCAATTTGTGGTAATTTGTTACAGCGGCCCTAGAAAACTAAAACTCTGACAGAAAAAAAATTGTGAATAATATGCATGAAAAAATCCTCCTTCAATAAACACAAAATTGCTTTCAAAATATTGTAGTGTAAAAATATATTAGTTCTTTTCTTTAATTAGGCTGTTTAACCACAATCATTCTTACCTGCTTCTAGTCTTTGTTGTAAGGTGCATAATAAAATATGTGAATGAGTTTTAGTTTTGGGGGAAGGTTGGGGGTAAAGAATCAAAGTCAATCCCATGGCACTCAATTTTTTTCCACCTATTCCCCCCACCCCCTCCTCTTTGGCAACCATTAGCTTGGTCTCTGTATCTATGGGTCTGTTTCTGTTTTGTTTGCTCATTTTTTATGTGCTTTAGATTCCAGATGTAAGTGAAATCATACAGTACTTATCTTTCTCTGTCTGACTTATATCACTTAGCATAATATCTTCTAGGTCCATCCATGTTGTCATAAATAGCAAGTTTTATTCTTTTTTCTTGCTGAGTAATATTCCATTATATATGACACATTTTTTTTAATCCATTTATCAATAGATACCTAGGTTGCTTCAATATTCTGGCTATTGTAAATAATGCTGCAGTGACATAGGGGTTCATATATCTTTTCCAATTAGTGTTTTTGTTTTCTTTAGGTAAATACACAGAAATGTTATTTCTGGGTTTCGTGGCAGCTCTATTTTTAGTTTTTTTGCAGAATCTCCATTCTGCTTTCTATAGAGGCTGCACCAATTTACAATCCCACCAACAATGTAGGAGGATTCTCTTTTTTTCACATTCTTGCCAGCACTTGTTATTTGTTGACTTTTTGATGATAGCCATTCTGACAGGCGTGAAGTGGTATCTCACTGTGGTTTTGATTTGCATTTCCCTGATGATTAATAATGTTGAGCATCTTTTCATAGGTCTGTTGGCCATCTGTATGTCTTTGGAGAAATGTCTGTTCAGGTACTCTGCCCACTTTTTAACATGAATGAGTTTTAAACAGTTAACTCTGGAGAATGGTTTTGGGAAATTCAAACAATACTTATAGAAAATAAAAACTGATTATTGAAATGAATGTGCATTACTTTTCTAATAAAATATAAAGAATATAAAACAAGCAATTGTTTTTTGTTTCTGAATTTCCGTATCAACTGCCTTCTACCAATCATTTAGTATATAGTATTGATGTCATTGTATAGTACATCAGTTCTTAACAAGTTTTAGTTCATTGCTTATTAAGATACAATTTAATAACTGCAAATAATTTTGAGTTGATATTTTTATTTCGTATATTCATTTAGTTTTAAAAATTGTATATGTTACTATGTAATGTCTGCAGTTTCTATGGTTTTCTTTTTGAGACACTAATCATATCTATATATCTTTACTATTTCATGAATACATGACATATGATTTGTGTTTAAATTCATTTATATTAAACTATTTATGTCACAACCCATAGTTCATAAGCAAATATAGTATGCATAACCAGATTTTTGAAGTTACTTAATATCGCTTAAAACTCACTTGCTAGGATTTGAAATTGTATTTTCTTAGTATTGGCAGAGTATTACATATCTTCAGAAGTTTATAAAATTATTTTTTCTAATTTTTGTTTTTAAATAAGAAGAAATAATGATGAATCTATACTGCAAACTTTTAAAAATAATTTTTATTTGAAATCTCTCATCGAAAATTATGAGACAGTTCTTCATGGACAAATCAAAATATACAACAAATACAATATTTGTATCAGCACTTTCATTTGGATTATGTATGTATGTATGTATGTATGTATAGTTATATAGTTATATACATATATAATCATGCATGTATATATTTATAGTCATTCAATAAACATGTATTAAAGGCTGATTAGGAGAAATCAAAAACATTATCTTACTCTCCTTTTTATACTTCTCTTTCCTTTTCTCTGTTCACATTGATATCCTTATGCCAACTGAAGTGACCTTCATGTGTTTAATTTACTCTGAAAAGAGAAATACTAGGCATATTAGCATATACTCTTGAAAACTATGCCCTACACGTTAGAATCTTTTGATGGATAAGAATTAACTAAAAATCGTTTCTGGTTAAAATTTTGTAATATTTATTTTAATGTAGCTATTTTTTTATTGAGTTTTTGTGATTGCTGCAATATTTTAATACACATTTTTGTGTAAGCAACATTTTGTAATAGAAAGGAATAAGTATTGAAATGTAAAAGGAAATTTTTAAGGTGCTGGATAAATATAAATTTAATGATAGAAATTCTGATCAGAGATATATTTTTCTCAGAACCTCAATGCCATATGTTCCGTGTTGAATGAAGAATGGTTTGTAAAAATCAGCATCACATTCTAAAGAGACTGGATTGTATAACAAGTGTAACTATTTTTATTTTATTTTCTCAAACTTCATCTGTTTATAGCTACTATTTCCAACTACTGTTTTGTAACACATAGCATGATCTGCAGGAATACTAAGAGAAAGTTTTAATATAAATTATTTTTTTAAGTCTGATTACAACGTAAATTTTCAAAACCATTAGAAGTTCAATAGAATTAATTATGCTAGATGCAATGGGGATAGTTCACTATACCTATCATTTAGGTGGACCTTAAAATTTTTCACAGAATTTTTGGTCACCGCATTCTTTCCTCAATCTATCAAAATTGATAGACAGCAAAAGTAAAGAGATAAAATTTAATGTTCTGATATGCAAAGTGGAAGTTTGCCTCTTCGGTAATGTCACATCTCCTTAGGCAATTGTTTATCATAAATACCGAACAAATTTTCTACCTTTAGCAGCACAAGCTCTATTAAATATATCACTACCCTACACTAGAATACAAAACAAATCAAACAAGAGGTCATGCTCCATTTCTCATTCTTGAGTAATAACTTCTATCCATTAAACTCCGTCTTTACGTTTGACCCATAATGCTTGTCTGCCTTGCACAGGATGAAGCTTTGTATTTTTGAACAGTCAAGTGGCACGATTCCTCATTCTTTTACAAGGAAAAGTAATATCCAACTCTCATAGCTGTTGAACTGAGGAGAAGACTGTATAGGTTTGTAAATAACACCACTGGCTTTTGGAATCAGAAAAATTAGTTTGAATTCTAGGTCTCCATATGTTAGCTGAATATATGAACTTGGGCATGCTCTTTAATCTCCTGAATCCTCATTTATTTCACTTTAAAATGAGCATAGTGTTGATACTTTCTCATCAGATATCTATAAGTCAAAAGAAAGTAATTGATAGATATTTAATTGAAAGTTATAGTTACCAAAATGTAACTCGCATATCTGGACACCATGATTAAGTACATGTCTGCTTTATTCCTGGTAATTTTAAGTACAGCCTCTGCATCACTAGCAACAATTGTTTTGTTATAGTCAGTTTTATTATTTGGGGATTTCATTTCTATTTGTTACTAGTTTAACAGCCCCGATGTTTGCTATACCTTGACAGGGCATATAAAACACAATCATTGCCCTTCTGGAGTTTCCATTTACAAGAAAACAAAATGCAGGGCAAGTGAGAGAGAAGTAGTTGCTGGTTATTTAACATTTATTTAGATTGGAGAAGGTATTCATTCTCCTACACTTCCATATCAGTAAGTGGCCATCCTAAGTGGTCCTGACAGTAAGATTCTCCAAAGCACATTTTGAGGAGGGAAAGGAAATGAGTGCTTTGTGTGATATGAGGAGGAAGATTGCTATAGGATTATGAGAACATTTTCTACTTCTGCACTCTAAAGCC